ATATGTATCTGTATATAAAACTGAATCACTTTGCTGTACACCTGAAACGTTGTAAACCAACTATACTTCAATAAAGCAAAACAAAATAAAAAACTAACAAACAAAAAGTCACCTGAGAAGTGTCTCAAAATTTTACTAGCATTTTGTTCCTTCCAATGATATTCACACTTTAAATTAAGATTCCCGGAAAATATTTGGGAGGAAGGATATAAAAAAGAGGGAGGAAGAGCTATTGATGGCAAGATACGTACTACACCTTTTAGTTCCTAGCACATGTGACAGCTATGGGGCACAATAATAAAATGGTATGCGAGGAGCCAGATTTGGGGCCGTTTCATGCAAGATTAGTCATCTGTTCATTCATCGTTCAGTCATCCATGCATTGTGGCTGAACAGTCTGTGCTCCTAAGATTCTTTAGATTCCATCCCTTCCCACCTACTCAAACACATAATCACAGTAATTTTTCCTTCCCTCTCCTAAGTCACTAACATTTCCCTTCCTATTGCAATCATTCATATCAGCATCTCAAGTAAGCTAGTTTTCTCTCTTCTTAAAGGAAAAAAAAAGAAAAAAAACAGAAAAACAAACCACTATAGACCTCTCTTCCCCCCTTCAATTACTCTCCATATTTTTGAATTTTGTTTAACCTCAAAAGTCTTCAAAATGATTCTTTATTCCTTTCTTCCTTGGATCGATTCCTGTCTTCCCATCCTCTCATGAACATAATCCTGATGAATTTTGTCCCCAGACCTCCACCCAAATTGTTCTTTTCAGCAACACCAATGTGGTAAAAGGTGTTGATCAGTGTTCAGGCTTCAATATATTTGATCTATCAGTAAAATTTCTCTCTCTTCTTTATCACTTTTCTCGCTTCTCTCTGAGGCATCACCCTCCTTAGTGGTTTTCTTCTCTTATCTCATTAGCTGTCTTTGCTGGATTCTTCTACTGTTCCTAGCATGTAAGCAGTTAGGTGCCCCAAGAAACAGTCCTGGGTGCTTTTGTCCTCCCTGTTTAATTTTAGGTCCAAGGTATCCTTAACCAGGCTCATGACCATAAAATCTACAACTATGACTCTTATATTTAAACCTCCTGCTTTGTTCGCTGCCATGAGTCCTGGATCCAACTGCCCATCCAGAATCCCTACTTGAGTCTCTAAAAGGACTCACAACATTGGTATGTGAAAGCTGAGCTCTTATTCTTCCACTGTTTGACCTAAATTTACTCCTATTCTAGACTTTACTATTTCATTAAGTGGAAACACCATTCTAGTTGCTTCAGGCAGAAACAAAAGAAAACATAACATAACAGCAGAGCCCAGAACAACAGCAAACTTGAGACTCCTTTCTCTTACTCAACCTCCACATTTCATCAATCAGAAAATTCTAATGGTGCCCATAATTTGAGCATTGTATGCCACCTTCACTGACACCACCCTAGTCCAAACTATCATCATCTCTTAGCTGAATTATTGCAAAAGCTTTCTCTC